CCCCAAAACCCCAAAACCCCAAAACCCCATTAGTGTATCCTTCTAATTTAAAAGTAATATATTGATTTAAAATAATAACTTAGCAATTCATAATGACTCACTATCTGCTTACTCATAAAACACTTAGTGTTTCTAATGCTTTTTCATAATCTATCATTCCAACTTCATTTGCTTTGAACTGATTCTAATTTGACTGCACACCAAATATTCTTAGAACTTTTTGGAAATTAGCCAATGAGACCATTCCAGTCTTCTATTTGTCATAAGCAGATATAAACTCTCTAGCTGCACTCAATTTATTCTGTGGGATTCTTCCTCCATTTATTATAGAGTCATTACCGCCTTGTCTGTCAGTAAGAGGGTATTGCTAACTCATACCAATTTAGCTTCTGCTTAGCTTTGAAAACACACTACCTCTACTTGGAGTGTCCCTTATTTTAGTTAGCTACTCTACATACTAGAGATTTTTAGGCTTTATAAAATCAAGGCTCTGTCTGTGAAGTCCAAGTTCTTGAGAAATTTTGACATAGTCGATTTCTTAGAGTAGTGGATTTGAGTTACTAGCACCATATAATGACTCAATTTTGCGAAGTTCCTCTCTAGATAGGTAAACTTTATGCTAATGAATTATTTTATTGAACGTTCCAATAGGAACTGTTCCTTTTCTCAGACTATCAGCCTAAGCCAAAGATCTATAAACATTCTTCCATTCATATGCTAACTTTACTTTAACATCCTCATTGAACTTTAAACTTTTAGCTGATGTTGCGATTGAGATTTAGCTTAAAGGTCCCAATCTATTAAGAGACTTATTCTTGGTAAGTAAAGTTTGACTGTTATTCTTGTACGCTTTTGACATGACTGGAGTTGTACTCCTATTATTAAGGATATTTGGATAATCTTCAGTTTCATTTCCAATGTTGAGCTCTAAATTTTACATATCATTTATCTTTTATATAGATGAATTCATATTCATCTGGGGCAAGGGTGATATATGATTAGACTATCTTCTTTCAGTCAATTACTGCTGCAATTTAGTTGGGAGAGTCTATCTATTTTCAGCAATTATTTGTCTTGAGTTAATTTTGGAAATAGACCCCTTGTGTTTACCAGAAATTGATCCACCATAACCACTCATTATGCTGTAATCTCCTAACGGCTTTTATGATTATCCTTCGATCTTAAGATTTTCCTCATCATCACTTAGTTCTTGCTACTCATGCTTCTATTATTTGGTTGATTCTGATTTTGATTGATTATAAATACTTAGCATTTCGTCCTTATTCTCTAATTTGTTTAAGTTTGAAGCTCCTTTTATTTCAGTTTGGATAAGATACTCATTAATGGAATCCTTGATCTTTTTATAATTAATCAGATTTCTGTTTTAGACGCTACCAAATCTTTTGAAATAATGATAGCAAGTTTTTCCTTCAAGTTCAATAGGAAACCATTCTTTGAATATCTCTTCAAGCTCATCGATAGTAACAAATCCATTTGAATCTTTATCAATCTTTTTGATTGATCTCCAAATTCCTCCCCAATTAGCTTTTTTTAATGTTGCAATCTATTTGATATAGGCTTCATCAATTTATGATAAGCCCTTAAGTTTGATATCTTCAGCTGCCTGTTCATCATCTGCCTCAAGATTCATGAGCTAGTTAATCTTCTTGAGTCTTGACTGCTTTCTTGAATTTATCAGAGCCTATAGAGACACTAATCTCTCATTCATATCATCAGGATTATCCTCTAGATACTGCTTGACTTTAAAGGTCTCCCAGATGAACTCCTTCTCTTTATTGTTGATTTTAATGCCGAGGACATTTTACAGCACATTTGCTAGTTCTTTAATTTTCATTTGATAGTCTGAATCGATAATAATTTTCACTAATTAATTCCATTTATCTTCATCTGCTTTCTCAGCAATGCCTGAAAATTTATCAAGGCATAGATTTCTCATAATTTTCTGATGTAATGGGCAGTAAATTGACTTAGAATTGAAATTGTTGTTTTCCCAGCACTTTTCATACTTGCAGGTGACCATTTTAGCAGGCTTGACATCTTACCTAAAGAATAGCTACTCCATTGGACTAACATCTTATCCAGCAGTGGATCTTAAATCCTCGTAGCTAATCTTGCTGTCTTTATCATAATCTAGCCAATCAAATAACTCTTTTAATAGCTAATCTGAGGCATCAAAACCCCATGATTTTATGATTTCAAAAAATTCTTCTTATTAAATGAATCCACTCTTATTTCTATTCATCTCAGTGAAAGCTCTTTGACAAGATTTGAACTAATTATGCAGCTTATCAATGAACCTTTCCTTTAGATTTTTGTTTGATATTAATTCTCTAATTTTCTTTTAGCCGCCTGCATATTGCAGTACAGTCTTTTAGATATTCTTTTCATACTATGGATTTTTCATGGAGTCATGTCTAAAATAAAAAGCTTCGACTGGTTCAATGACTGCTCCAAACCACCTGCAAAACTCAGTATAGTTAAGATCTGGACTCAATTTTGAATTTCTCATTTTAATCAGCATTTTCAGCAAATTGAAGTCGAATTTAGAGCTACCACTTGAGCCTCCAATAAGTTTAGCAAAGTTTTCCGCAGTCACAAATCCATCAAAATCTTCATCGAGATCTAAAAATGCCTTTCTCACTGAAACCCAATTATTAGATAATCTTTCCTTAAGAATATCTTCAATGTGTTTCATTTTATTGTTGATGTCACGATTCTTAGATGAAGACATTTTTGAGAGAGAATCATTTATTGTGAAATCTTAAACAGACTTGGTGCCCGCCATCATTGGCTTCCTCGAAGTATCATTATTGATTTCCTCCTCATCTGATTTATCTGAATCTGAGAAATCCTAGCCATTTTGATTGTTCATTACAGGTTCTTTTAACTTATTTGGAAAGAAGTTTTTAGTAAATACTTCGATCTTTAGTTGCTGCTATTTCTTAAAGATAGTCTCATTGACTAAAAATTCTCTCAAATCCTAAAAGGTTTAGTTAAAACAATAAATGATCGCATACATTCTTTGAAAAAGGTAACTTATATATGATTCTACCCTCTACGAAGTCATTGACATCTACAAAACCTTTTCCCTGGAAGTCTAATGCTTAGTAGGCCTAATTCAGTTTAAATTAGAATGAATAATACTGCTTCAGGATATTTGTAAGTTCTGTTTAATTCCTTGATAATGAGGAATCTGATGAGATCTTTTTTCTTGGAGTGGTCATTTTTAATTTACTACGCATTCTTAAACCCATAATTCTTGACCATAAACACATCAATTTTTTCTAGAAAAGATTAAAAGGGAATTATACAGTCAAATGCTGATTATTCATCCAATGCAGGTTGACCAAGTCCTTATATTTTTAAAGGTGATACGCTCTAACTCATTTTTTATTTATTAATTTTTATTTCCCTAATATTTGCAGGACTTGTACTGGTGGGGTTTTGGGGTTTTGGGGTTTTGGGGTTTTGGGG